CCCACCGGACCACGCGCGCCAAATCGAGCGACGCGCGGGCTTATCTCGTCTTGATAACAAATCAGCAGGCGGTACCAGCGCCGGCCGAACGATAGCGGAGCCACGATGTGGGCCCACGGCCGGCCGGTCAGTCGTGACACAGCGTGAGCAGGGGTGCGAGCAGAACGGAGAGCTGCGTTCGTGCTGCTGGCGCGTGAGCCAGGTTTTGTAGTAGTTCAGGTAGGTGATCGTCCAGACACGCTTTTCAGACGCCTCGTACTCTTTTTGATGTCTTGAAAGAGCGGTCTTCGCCGACTGGCCACCTGCCTGGCGTCTTGTTTGACGGATGAAGGGTGAAGGGTGAAGGTGCTGATTCCGCTCATACGGAAGATGTTAGCCTCAGGCCAGCGCGACCAGTCACAGGTCGTTGCAGAGCCTAGAAATTCGTTTGGCTGCGGGTCAGAGAAACACGACGAACGGCCGGAAGGCACTGTTAGCGAGACGCTTGCCATGGCCCGAGGCGACAGACTCCTGAGGGCTCCCGCTGAGTGACGCTGTGTCCATGGGAACCACGACCACCGCGAGCTAACGTACGACCACCGCGAGCTAGCGTGCCACACGCGAGCTAACGTGCCACCACCGCGAGCCTACGCACGACCACCGCGAGCTAACGTACGACCACCGCGAGCTAAAGTGCTAAGGACCGGCATGGACCAGCACTGCTCAAAGGATCGCCGCAGCGAGAAACAGTTGAGACGCCCCAACAGCACCGGCACTATGTCGGCCGAGCGGGTCAGGCTTCGAGCTGACGTAACCACGTGCGCTGGGAAGGAATCTCCAGTCTTTCAGTCAGATAGTTCACAGCACGCACTGGCCACAGAGAGGAAACAGCTTCGCGCCCACATTCGTGCTGCAGAAATCCAGTGACTGGTGCTGATGACTATAGGAATCCGCTGAGCTTTACATGGATATGAACGGATACTGAAATACGGACGGATGCTAAAACTTCCAGCGCCAAAATGATTCTCTCCTCTCTCTCTCTCTCTCTCTCTCTCTCTCTATCTCTCTCGTCTCTCGTCTCTCTCTCTCTCTCTCTCTCTCTCTCTCTCTCTCTCTCTCTCTCTCTCTCTATCTCTCCTCTCTCCGCTCTCTCTCTCTCTCTTTCTCTCTCTCTCTATCTCTTCTCTCTTATCTCTCTCTCTCTCTCTCTCTCTCTCTATCTATCTCTCTCTCTCTCTCTCTCTCTCTCTCTCTTCTCTATCTCTCTCTCTCTTTTCTCTCTCTCTCTCCCTCTCTCTCTCTCGCTCTTTCTCTCTCTCCCTCTATCTGTCTCCCCCCCCTCTCCCTTTCTCTCTCCCACTTTCTCTCCCTCTCCCCCTCGCTCTCTCTCCCTCTCTGTCCCCCCTCTCCCTCCCTCCCTCTCTCTCTTCCTCTCTCTCTCTCTCTCTCTCTCTCTCTCTCTCTCTCTCTCTCTCTCTCTCTCTCTCTCTCTCTCTCTCTCTCTCTCTCTCTCTCTCTCTCTCTCTCTCTCTCTCTCTCTCTCTCTCTCCTCTCTCTCTCTCTCTCTCTCTCTCTCTCTCTTGGACCGCGCATGAAACAACGATATCGTGGTCAATGCTGGACCGGTTTTGTGCACGCCATGTCTGTTCATGTGCATCGGATTCGACCCCGTCGATCGCTTAGTGATCTAATAATAAGGTCAGTAGGTCCGATAAAAACGCGGCATGACGCTGGTGGCAAATGCGGATCAGAGACGAAAATGACACGTTTACTCTCTTACGATAGATTTTGTGATCTTAACAATGCATGGTGTGTTCCTGGCTTGGTGATGAGCAGTCACGATAACTAGAATTACAAAATGTCATTCAATAATAAAAGTATGCTTTAAAAAAACAACTAGGATAACTGCGCGCAGAAAATGCTGTTGGGAAATGTTGGGAATACCAAACCACCGATCCCACGGTTCACATTCAATCTCATGGTGCTTTCCGTAGCCTTTACTATAGCCCCCTTTACGCCAGTTTAGGCCAAGCTTCCCCGCAGAGGGAAGGGGTCGGACGAGGCGGTGGGAGGGGGGGGGGGGGGGGTGGAGTGTTTACGACCCATCATAAATGATATGACTCTGATAGTCCATGCCTGCCGCGAGCTCTGCACGCCGCCCCAGAACACTGAATGGCTGCACATTCCTCCGCAGACACGTGACAGCGGTCCAGTATTGGGAAGCGGATGCGACATAAGTACTCTGGCATGGCCAGGGCACGACAGGCGCAAAAAAACATTTCATGCTAGCAAGACTAGGCCTACCAAATAAGCCTACGAGTTTCGTCTGGTGCAAGACGAAAATTGAGGTTGAAAACGCGGCGTTTCATCCCACAAAATGGATAAAACGCGGCGTTTCATCCCACAATATGCATAAAACGCGGCGTTTCATCCCACAAAATGCATAAAACGCGGCGTTTCATCCCACAAAATGCATAAAACCCTTAAAACCCTGCTGCGGTGTTTGCGCATGTTACGCTCACCCGACGGCACTGCGACGTTGTGCCATAGCTTGGATTGTATCCGACAAACACGTCCCATCATGACGTCATCTGGTCAGAAATGCGTCGTCGCAGCGGCGCTTGTGGCCCGATCCTGTAGAAGACTCGCAATTAGCCATTGTCGTTGGCGCGTCCTTAAAGCCCAGGAGCTAACAAGATCCTGTACGAACATAGACATGTTCGTTTGGCGATGTCCCTTGCTATCTTTTTGCTGCTGTTCTGTTACGATTCACGTTGAGGAGTAGCTAGGTGGTCGTCAATGCATTGACTCAGCACGGTATCCGTGTGTTGGATCTGATTCGGAGAGCTGGTGAGAACCACGTTCATCACAGACTCGCATTCACCGAGAAACTGGGACGTTGGTGCGACCACAATCTGGGTGAGCGAAACAAAATATATCATCAGCGGACAAAGCCGACGCACGCGAGGGCTGGCATTATTCTAGCAGCAAATGTCAGATGGAATCACCCATGATCAGCGCCGACCGAATACCCTGCATACTGTAACTGGCAGAGCTTCCATTTTCGGCATCGTTGCAGAGGCCTTGGCCATGCGCTTGCTGTAAGGATTCTTGACAGGGCACGAAGGCCTGCAGAGGCCTATACCGATTCCCCGGAATTGGAGGCCAGACAACTGTCCGGACAGCTCAGAGCGAGGCCGTACCCTCGGATTGGAGGCCAGACGACTGCCCGGACAGCTCAGAGCGAGGCTGTACCCTCGGATTGGAGGCCAGACAACTGTCCGGACAGCTCAGAGCGAGGCCGTACCCTCGGATTGGAGGCCAGACGACTGTCCGGACAGCTCAGAGCGAGGCCGTACCCTCGGATTGAAGGCCAGACGACTGCCCGGACAGCTCAGAGCGAGGCCGTACCCTCGGACTGGGGGCCAGACGACTGCCCGGACAGCTCAGAGTGAGGCCGTACCCTCGGATTGGAGGCCAGACGACTGCCCGGACAGCTCAGAGCGAGGATCGAGGGTACTATCAATCAGTACCCTCGGATTGGGTCAAGGTACCGAAGGATCTATTTGCGGGAAAACGACGCCAGTGATCCAGCAGCTGTGGGTGCTGGCTGGCGCAGCGTTTGTCCTGGGATACTGCGAGCACACCCCAATCGCGGTCATCGCCTAAGAGGGAGCCAGTCGAGGACAGCCCTGCCGCAGTCAGAGTTGAAGGGAGTGCTCTACATTCATATGGAGTTTTGAGCCGAAATAGCCATCTTGAAGGCTTTTCGGTGTTGTTTCCAATCCTGTTGTTCTTAAGACCTATACGTGCCTAGTTTCAGAGCTACACGCCCGGGAAAATGGGGAAAAGTGTATGGATGAGAGTATTTCAGTCATCTTGGCATTCATGACGCCATAATGACGTCATTCAAACCCTACCATTCCATAAGCTATACAGTGATCAAGTCCAAGGGAAAGGTAATCGTGGAGCCGCCATATCTGGCGCTCGTGAACGTGATTTCCAGATAAATCGGTCGTCAACGGGCTCTCACCGTTGTGCAGGAACGACGACGCAATCAAACCATGACGGATGGAGCGGCAGATTTGCTAAACAAAGAGTTGTGGTGTCTAGAACAGTCTTTTCCACTTCTAAAGTATACCGAAAGTTATAAGTGAGCTTGTCTAAGCACATCTGATGCTTACTTCAGTATCTTCAAACGTGAAGCAACGTTCCCTTTAAAACAAGGACCTCTCACCAAGATTGCCATTCGCATTAACCTACCTCGCACCCAAGTGGTCAGCAGGGCAATGAAATTTAGAACTGAAACTTGCTATTGGTATAAAATGCACATGTCAGTTGTCTGTATGAGACATGTTCTGGTGTTCTGAAACCCTTAACAACGCATGTATATCTCATAAATTTTCCAAAAATGTCGGGTCAGATTTTTGTACTAAAAGCAAACCCGTCCTTAAATCAGAAATTGGAGTTCTGTTTTTTCATCTAATATGCTACTTTTGTGCATTGTGCAGCGCGAGAACCCATTTCAGTTTGCAATGTGTTTCAATACGGTCGAAATCCTTGAAGACAGTGATGCCTTGAAGACAGCGGTGCCGCCACGTATTTGGTGTGGGCTGCCGAGCACCTAACAACAATTTTGATCCCCTGCCTCTGAATTCGGACGCTTTCTACTTTGGAGCTGTGCTGTGGGCTGGACACTGGAGTAATGTGGTAGCGGATCTATCGTGTGCCACGGTCGCTAAGCCTCCACCGCAGGGGTGCATTTTTGTAAGATGGGATTGGGGGCTGGGGTGGAAAACGGCTAGAATTGCCCCCTTCCCCAAATACAATGAAAACGGTACACCACCCGGCTTAAAGCAATACCCCTCTCAAAATTACAGAGCTGGAGCCCTTCAACTAAAAAAGCAACACCCCGCTCCGACGCATTTCCTCTCTATGCTTCGGTGGGAGATGTTGTTCTCTGCTTCGACGGGAGATGTTGTCCTCTGCTTCGGCGAGAGATGTTGTCCTCTGCTTCGGCGAGAGATGTTGTCCTCTGCTTCGGCGGAAGATGCTGTCCTCCGCTTCGGTGGGAGATGCTGTCGTTGGGCATCATTATCATTTTGTTTGACGTCGAAGGTCGAAACCTGGTTTCGGCAATCGACGTAGGGTCGATGACATGAGACCGCAGACGTTGATGGAAGCCTATGGCCCCGGGAATAACGAGTATAAGCTGGTGTGCGCGACTTTTAAAGCATGCC